AATAAAACAAAAACTAAGAACACAAAATAATTGAGTCCTCCGGAATGCAAGGAGGCTCACCACTGACTCTGGAGTGCTCAGTTGGATCAACGACGTGCAGGATGCTGATCCGGGGTACCTGAATCTGCATCATCAAACGATGCAGGCCAACTGGCATCAGTACATGGAATGTACGAGTATGCAAGCTGGAAAACTAAGCAACAAAGGCTAGAAGGAAAACTGGAAGAAACTGAATAGCTTACCTGGCTCAACTTAACTCAACCTGACTGACTTCTTTCAATATAAGGCAATTTAAAACAAGTGCGATATAAAGAAAGATTGCTTAAAACATGCTATGAACTCTGTGTGTATACAAGGATACAATAAGCCTGAAATGTGTATAAAAATACAATGAACTGATGTATATAAAAAATACAATAATCTCTGTGTATGAAAAATACAATAACTGCTGTGGGAGTTTCTCTAACCGACAACCATCACATAAGAGCTATAGTGATGATACAGCGATCGACCTCACGCTGCCAGAGCATCTTATACCCGGCCAAAGGTATAAGACCTGAACTGCCTAATGGATCCACTAGTCTAATCTGAAAAGGATTCATCTAAAAAGTATGATCCTTTTCTACCCATGGTGGCTAACATGGTTCTATGGGGGCTGTGGGTTCTTTGAACGCTCCCCCAATTCGGTGCTCGATACTACTCCCAAAAATGTACTGGCTCTTATGTTTTTAAAACATATTTCTTCCTGCTGATATGAGATAATTACTCAAAAACTTGCCCGAAGGCTTTTTGGAAATCTCAGTTTCCAACCTTGTTTAAATGTAAAAACATTTCTTTAAAACTTCTTTGGGAATACATAGTCCCTAATAACTTTGAGAAAAGAACTCAACTTTAAACTCTTTACTTTACTTGAACTCTTGGCTTGATGTGAAACTCTTAACTTAACATGAAACTCTTAACTTTTGACTTGACTTGAAACTCAATACTTAACTTGGAACTTGAGCCTTAGAATGAAGTTAAAACGCTCAATGAAGACTCTTGGAAAACCTTAAAGACTTGCTTTGACTTACTTACTTCTAAGCTTGACTTCACTTGACTTGGAAACTAACTTCACTTGAATTGGAAACTAACTTCACTTGACTTGTAGTTTTACTTGACTTTTGGAAGTACCTTGGAGTGTTGGAAACAACTAGGAAACATAGGTATAATACCTAGGAACATGTATAAAAAAAGAAATGGTGAATGAAAGGGAAGGATTGGTGTCCTTGGCACTAGGAGAGGTGCAACAGCCCAGCCCCTTTTTCCCCAAAAATCCGACTTTTTCCCCTTGTTTCTTTCCAATTCTAAACCCTCTCAACCTCAAGGTTTCAGCAGCAACACTTAGAATCATAAAGACCCTTATTATACAATAGATTCAACTCAAAAATCACAGCCAGAAATCTGTACTAAATCAGCAAGAACTTCAACACAACACCACTACAACTTCAACAACCAATAAATCTTCTCTTGGAATTAAAAACGAGTTGGTGTGTGGGGGTATGAACCAACCAACACTAAGGATCATAAAATCCCTCAATATACAATAGGTCACAACTCAAATACACAGCCCAATCCTGTCCCACAACCAACAATAACTTCAACAACACAACTAACAACATCAACAACAACTAACAACTTCAACAACTTCAACAACAAATCCAATCTCTTCTCAAATCATAAAAACGAGCTTGGTATGTGGGGGGGAAAGGATAAACCCACACTAAAGACTCACATACCTTGATAGGGATCACCCCCGACGAAAATCCACAATGATCTTGACAAATCTTGTTGATCTCCTCTTTCTTCTCTTCTTCTTCTCCTTCTTCTCTTCTTCTTCTCTTGAACCCTAACTCTTTCTCTTTCAAAATGGGACAAAATGATCCAAATATCAGCCTAATACAACAATATAAGCTCAAAAGAAATTATTTGTGAAAAGACCAAAATGCCCTTAAATTTCCGGAACGGAATCCCTGCCAACTGCCCAACTTTCAAAGATCATAACTCGCTCATACGAACTCGGAATCGAGCAAACTCAGTGGCATTGGAAAGATCGTTCCACAAGCTTCGAAACCATAACTGGAACTACTCCTAACTCATCCTGAGCTAGGACTTATGACTGCTCAAAGTTTGCCAAAAACTCACTGATTTCCACACTTAGCCAAATTTTCCAGATTTTAAATTTTTCCAAAAATGACTATTTCCAAATTTCAAGCTTCTTCATATTCATTTTTAAATTGTCGGATGTTACATTCCAAATGGCCTTTCCTCCATACTACATTTTTCTTCTGATTTAATTAACAATAACTCCCATAAGGTGGTTATTTTTAGAAAAAAAAATCATTTCATTGAAAAAATGCAAATGACGAGAATCTGCACATTTCTTTTTAGTTATTTAAAGAATCTTGATTTTAACTTTTTAAATAATATAAAAGTGTTATAATAATGACAAGACATAAACATGCAATGCACATTCTCAGAGACTTATTACTAATAATTTAGAGCATACCTTTCTTCTTCTTCTTCTTCTTCGGACTCTCTTTCCTTTTCCCCTTCCTTTTGCCATTTATGGCGGATTCAATTTCCAGAGAATTGTTTTTTCAACTAATCACATGCATATTTAATAAGGATAAAAATTAGAAACACAAGTAAAAGGAACGGCAAGAAGCAAGACTTAAAGAATGTTAACTATTCTATTTGTATTTTGTCTCAATTGTATATGTGATACAACGAATACAACATGTACTATATTTACACTAACAAACTTTCAAGAATTTGGGCCATGGTATATACTAAAGACACGAGATCTAAATTTACTAAAATACATGTAAAATGAATTAAATATAGAAAAATATTTTACACGCGTCTCGCACCAAGAAACGCCTATTCATGCAATTAGAAGTGGGGCAAAGTTCGAACAAGTCTATTTTGGGATGCCAGTATTCGTGGAGGTGTTCTGGCCCGGTTGAGGGAATTGGTGGAAATATGGGGTATAATTCAGGGCAAAGTTCAAGCATAAACGTTCTAGCTGTAGCTCCTCAAACTAGGACAGATCCAACATTGCCTGATCTTAATTTGAAAATCTGATGTTTTTTTTTTTTTTTTTGCATTCTATTCTACTTTTTGTATCAGAATTTTCATAATTGTGGTATTACATTAGTGCTCTATTTGTACAGGAGGTGAATATTTGAGACTGTCTTGAGCTTTCAATTTTGAATCTTTTTCATTCCCAAATTTGTTTAGTTGACCACTAAATTGTACAATTATATAATGTTATTCAAAAGCACAGATTTGGGACAGTGGTGATGTTATGCAAACCTTTAACTTCCTCCCATTTTAACCCTGTTTATTATTATTCGCTAGATTCACTTCAGAAAATCTCACATTGAGGGTAAGACATACATCCCCTAACAAAAGGGACTCTATATCCGGTAGGACTTGAACGCGAGACCTCTAATTAAGGATCAAAGAGTACTACCACTCCACCACAATGCTTGTTGGCAGTAGTCATCTAATTGTCCATATTCTTAAAAAAAAAAAGGGATAGCTGCCTTTTTCATGTTCTTAAAAAAAAGGGGGAATTGTCCATTGATGATTGTTCTTCATCAGATTCAGGCCAAATGGGACATATATTGATTCACAATTTGGCATTGAAACCTTCCAATTGAAAAACTAGAATCTTATATGAGAGGTTACAGACGAAATAAGATTCATAACTAACAAAAAACAGGAAAGAAAACACACAACACATTAAATTAAAATATGTCCAGAACCAGCAATGAAAAAAACCAGTAACAAGTTTGTTTATTGGAAGCAGTAATCAGATGAATTGAGACTGCAAATGCATTCGTTGCGTTGTTTCTTTCTTCATTGTTGTTCTATCCTTGAGTCCTTTGGGCATTCTGCAAATTATATATAGTATGATTTAAATTAAATAAAGTATATTTGTATGTAGGGGTAAAGATGTAAGAAATTAGTTACCTCTGTTTCATCCTCTTCTTCAGCTTCTTATTCATACACATCTGATATATGGAGTTGAAGTCTGTCCTCTCCTGCGAAGTCTACTATCTGTTTCTTAATCTCAATGGCCGAATCTCCAAGCTCACGCTTATTATTAGTTAAATGAATGGACTTTAAAGTGTGTATATCTATAAATGCAGAAGGGATCTCCGTAAGCTTGTAACAATGTTCTAATCTTAATTCCTCAAGCTTGGGAAAGGTTTCCATATCAACTTGCCATTCCGAATGATTGACCATTTGCATGGAAAAAGTCTTAAGACTTTGATAGATGTCCTCACTTGCGTCCCACTTGTCCTCTACGAATTCACAGTCAATAAACTCCAGAATTTCAAGCTCAGGCAATGCCACGATTAATGACAACAAATCAGGTCTCAGGGGAAAACCATACAACCGTAACTCTTTCAAGCTGTTAGGGAAGTAATATTCATTGGGTTGTCGGATTTTGTCTGTTAACTCGGGAGAGCCAACATTCTCGTACATTGCAATGAGTGATTCAAGTTTATTAAGGACATCAAACTTGGGAAACCAATCGCCATTTGTAAGAGGATCTATCAGTTCCTTCATGTGGCAATGAAGGTGCTGACGATTCGGAAAATTCTCCAGAACATCACTCATGGCTTCAGTATATGAGATATCAACTTCAGATAAGGTTGTCAAGTCTTCTAACTTAGAATTCTCAGCTTCCAATATTCTACTTGGTTCATGCATAATATCATCCACATCCATTTCCTCTTCCTCTTCAAAGAAAGAACTCATGTCAATTTTCACATGTTTCAGCTTTGACAGTTTGAATATTATGGGAAGTAATACCATGGTGGAATATCCAGTATTGATCAACAGAGTTTCCAGATTCTGGAGGTTCAACCAAGACACTGGGATACCTTTTACCTCTCGAGTTCGAATCCTTAAGAACCTCAAATGAAATAGGGAGCCTATTTCTTCCATTAAAGAATCTTCCAGAATAATGCTATCCAGTTGCAACACTCTAGCAAGTCCAAAGGGTCTTGTATGGCAGATATAGCTGAGTTAAGAAGTGAACCGCTAACTTTCAAAGATATGAGATGCTTACTACCAGCTGAACACTTATTAGAATTGAACAAAACACATTTTTTGTTGAGTTGACTCTCGTCAGTATGAATGGTTAGACGATGATGTAGGTAATCCGAAGCATGATATCGAGCACCTGGATTCATTAACTTGAAAAACTTTGCCTTTTTGGATTTTTCTGAACAAAAATCGTGCACAACATCATGCACATAACAAACCTTGATCCTAACAGAAAAAGGCATACTCTTCTTGGAGGGGATTTGATCCACCATTATCAGGCTACTGGAAACTAAAGCATCCAAGTAACTTTGAGTTGCTTCCTCTAAACTACTCTTGGATCGGATATCATGATCCACAAACCCTTCGGCCATCCACAACTGCTTTAACTTAGAGATCGGAGTTCGTTTGTTCTTTTGAGATCTTGCGAAGTAAAGCAACAACGGCTTCAGGTGACATGGTAAATGGTCATAACTTAATTGCATAACCTTCATCATCTGCAAATTGATGTTTGTAGAAATAAAGGAATCCAAATTATGTTGAATCTTAAGCCACAAATTCTTTTCCTTTTTCTTTCCTCTAACAATTACTCCAGCAATCAAAACAATAGCCAAGGGAAGTCCTTTACATTTCTTAACTATTTGGTGTCCAACATTTGACAGTTCAGCAGGGCAGCTTCCTTCCCCAAATACCCTTTTTTCGAATAGTTCCCAACTTTTTTCAGGTGTTAAAACTTGGAGGTCGATAGGATCAGTACGACATTTAACTTGCGAACCTACCTTACTAATTTGGATAGTTAAAATAACTCTATCGCCTCTCTTAAGATTTGGAAAACATGCTATTAACATCTCCCCTGTTGCAATATCCCACACATCATCCAAGACGATGAGGTACCTTTTATCGTACAGTGCTCTTCGTAGCTTTTCAGCAAGGTCAACCTCCCTTCCTTTTACTTCAGAGCTAGTAACTTGCTGAAGAATCTCCTGCAACACCTTTGACTTGTTATACTTTTGGGAAACAGTGCACCAAGCACGAATCTTGAAATGACTAGCGACTAATGTATTGTTATACACTTTGTTGGCCAGAGTAGTTTTACCGAGTCCTGGCATTCTGACAATCGAAATGACATCAAGCTCAGATTCATGTTGATTAAGGAGCTGGCCAATGAACTTGGATTCTTCTTTCTCATGACCTACTGTTACCTCAACAAAAAGTGATGAGGTTGACTCAATTGGCTCGACGAAAGACTTTGCATCAAGGGGGTGATCCCCATTCTTATCCTCCAGCTGTAAACTGGTGACTTGTGCCACGATAAGCTTGATCTTATCAGTGACACTCGGAAGTGAGAAGATGAGATGCGAGAGAGCATTATCTCTGACAAGAATGGAATTAATGGCATGTTCTGCCTCATATGCCACATTTAAAGCACGCACCCAACAATCTTTAACTACTTGGCTAGTGTCATTCAATGTTTGCTTGACTTTCTCGAAAGATGATCTTATGAATTCAAGGCTTTGTTTCACCATCCCAATTTCTTTCTTTATGAGAGAAACTGAATAAGCATTGGAAATGAGCAAATCATTTAAATGTCTGAGTAGAAGATTCATGAAGAGGAAACCATCATCCATAGGAAAGCAAAGTTGAGATAACTCTGGAGCTTTCAAAAAAATCTGTCTAATATCTCGCTTCATTTGTTCAATTTCTTGCAACAAGTCTGAAGCTGAAATGTCCGCTTCATTGATATTATTCTCAGAGCTCTCCTTCACCAGAATAGATATCTTCCTAGTAAGTAGCCCAACATGTGCCAACATATCATTCAATTTGTCATGATGGATAAATCGCTTTGGTATATCAGTGAGAAAGATCAATAGGAACTCTATCATGACATTAATGCTTTGAGTTGGAGCGTAATTGACAGCTACAGCACCTGCCATGCGTCCTTGGAGAAGAATCAGATAATTTTGAAGAATCCTTGGTGATGCTTTTCGGATTTGCTTAACAAACCGTTCTAGTTCAGTTGACCTTGATTCTTTCATGAGCTTAGAGGTAGAAATGTATAAAACCTCCAGCTTAAGAGGGATTATGTCGATGAGTAGAGAAGCAATCTTGGAAGAGCATTGAGAGACGTCTTCACACACCTCGTAACCATCATAATATCGTTTATACTCTCCAGTCCAAAGATCAAAACAGAATTGTGTTACTCTATCATCAGTCAATTGGAGCCAAGGGTAGAGATATTCAGTGTGTGCTTTGTTGGCCTTGAGGATAGGATAGAAATCTCTCAGATGTCGGAATACTTGCTGAAGAATCTTGAAGTCACTCATCCAGGGGAGAAGCAAATTAGCACGATAGTTTGGTAGATCATGAAGGTGTCTGAAGAGATATTGAAACATTTTCCCTTCAGTCGTCATGGCAACATAATAATCATTCTCCAAACTCAAAAAATAACTTTTCATCTCTTCCAGCAGCAGAGGGGCAAGACATTCCATGTCGCATTTCGCTAGGATTAATTTATCATCTTCATCTTGATAGAAAAGTGAGCAACTAAGTTCATCGAACTTGTCTATTTTCTCGGACATGCTGGAATAAAAGTAATCCAAACTGGAATTCCCAAACAGAACAAATGTGCTTAGGAATCTCAATTCCATTCTTAGCTTTTCAATGTCATCCAATTTTGATGAAGCAATTATTTTTTCATTCTTTATTTTGTTCAAGCCATTCAAGAAATCATCGATATGATTGTTGATTCTTCTTCTTTCTTCCTCAAATGGAAGCTGTTAAATTAAAAGCCAATCATTAGTCGGGATATATTAGTGACATATTTTGTTATTTAGTTACACAAATAGTGTAGTCCTAGATTTTGTTATTTAGTAACACAACTGTAGTAGTTTTTTGATATGATGTAATATAATTAAAGTCTAGGGACGTAACGATAATCTTAATCGTTTTATGGATTTTAATTGAGATAATGAATATTTATGCGGGTACCAATGTTATAATATGGAAATATTTAGGGAAAAAGGTCTGAAATATATCCGAACTTTGACCGAAATTGTTGTAACAATACCGAACTTTGGAAATGACCTTTTACCCCCTGCACTATTTAATAGTGTATTTTAAAAGTATATATGTGCCCACATGGACATCATAAATATTGCATCATTATAAATAGTAATGTGTCCATGTGGGCACATATATACCTTTAAAATACACTATTAAATAGTCCGGGTGGGGGGGGGGGGGGGGGGGTAAAAGGTCCTCCATAAAGTTTGGTATCGTAACAACAATTTTGGCCAAAGTTGAAGTATTTTTCAGACCGTTTTCCCAAAAATTTACATGAAATTAATTATTGGTTGATAGTATCCTATAAGTTGTGATATGATTGAATTGTTGAGACTGGTGAATTATGTAAATTTGATTGTGATTGATGATCATTAGTTGTAGGGTCGATTGATAAACTCATATTATATATTTTTTCATACATATTCATATCACTCTTATTGTTGGATGATAATTATTGGTTGATATTATCCATTGAGCTATTTGTAAGATTCATGTTCTTATCATGCCGATGAGAAATGGTTCCGGCAAGTGACATCTGATTGCCCTAGGTCTTGTGCCGATGAGAAATGATTTTGGCAAATGATATTGTGCCAGTGGAAAATGTTTCTGACACGTATACAAATCTGATTGCCCTAGGTCTCGACTATCTGACAGAAGAAGCGGGTGTATACCGATCTTCGGTCAGTGTATTACATTACACATTTCATCTATATTGCATTTCATATTAATTTGGCGTTGAGTTGTTGAAATGATATGAACTGATTTGACTTGATACATTTGAGACATCTTGTAATATCATCTATGGTGTAATTGACAGTTTGGGAAAAGTATATGTTTTAATTTTATGTTGACGTGATTTATTTTACGATGTAATTATACTTTTAGAAAAAGAAAACTTTCATTCTTTCATTTCTTATCGTGCATATGCGGTTCACTTTAATATCTAATTTTTTTTTATTCTCTCACTCATTGTGAGGATACGTCTCTAATTTGTACGCAAGTTATGAGAGATGATGCTACATGGTGTGGTTAGAGGCATTATGATTTGGTTAGCAAAATGACCAGATAATAGAAATTGCGATATTGAGGATGTTGGCATAGTATGGATGGTTCGTTTGAGGTGTGATTTGAACAAGGATATTTTATTTTTTTTCAATTTATTGTGACAATCTTATGACACAATGGTACTTATGATAAGTCGACAATTTAACATTGAAAGGGTATAATATGGATGTTATGAATACAAGTGTAATCTAGGAAGGATCAATTGATTAAATAAGAGCATAATGATCATGATCAGACTACAATGAAGAGTTGAGGAATAACAAAAATATGAGGGTGATCATTTATGATGAAGTATTAGATGGTAGGACTTGTTATAAGATATGTATGAAAAACTTTGTTTCTTACCTTTGGAGTGGAGGTATACTAAGAAGAATTCAAATAGTTCGAGTTGGATTATACGATAATCACAATGGTAAAATTTCTTATGAAGGAAGCCACAATAAAGACTAAGTATAAAATTTTATGAGATTATGAAGCTAAGTTAAGTGTCAATCTACTAGAACACTTAAAGTAGTGATTAAATGGTAGATATTCGCATATTCAACCTCTGAGATGTCGTTCGGAAGTTAAATTGAGGAACAACAATATTAGTTGAAATTAATGGAAAACATGATTTGATTTTAGGCAAAGATATTTGTATAAAACTATGTGAGAATATTCATAGAGACATGTGTAAAATGGTAAAGGATCGGCCTACAATTCATGGACTAAGTTGTGGTAGTTGGAAATATTATATCGACAAATAACTAACTCTATTGAAGTAACCAAGATTGTCCCAAGTATTGTTCAGTATGCTCTCGATCTTCTATAGTTTTATTTTGATCATGGATCTACTTCGTTTTATGTATCTTCTTTCAGATTTGAATATATTTTGTGACTCTTCTCTATATTTGTACGTATCTCGACATCCTAAGATGATTCTTAGTGGCGATTACATCCGTCTCAAGTTATTGATCTGATAGAACAAGACATTTGGGATAGACTTCATTACTTTGAATATGATAAACTTCGACATCATGTTGAATATGGATTGAATTTTTTCCTTGTCATTCAATTTCAGACTGTTATATATGTCAAGACAAATATCTCAGTTTTGTTGGATATTCCTAAATTGAAGTTACATGACACTCTCAATATCTATCTAAGGAAATATAGTATTATTTTCAAAGGCATAATGCATATGGTTCTGAGACATGATTGTGATAAGTGTTATGTGAATTGACGGAGAATAAGGAATTAAAGAGGATGTATCATTTCGAGGGATGTGTCGCGGCACGATAAATATTATAATTCAAGGGACGTGTCGTATGCCACAATGGTTTCTATTATCGGGGGACGTGTCGCACGCCATGACAGATGCATGAACAAACATGTCCCCCTTAGGTCCCGAACTGAGAGACAACGGGTGTGTATCATTAGATCATACATGTATCACCATACTCGACATTGCATCGCATTGTATCACATATCTTTATCATTGTGAACTTGTGAGTGTCCTTCTACGAAATTTGTAATTGATGAACATTATCATGTGTATTGTTGATCTGAAATTGTCGGAGTGTTGTCATTGAGCTATGAGCTATGTAAATTGTAAACTATTAGGTTGGACTGATTTTATGCAGGTTGTAGTTGTGGAAGTTTGGTTGGAGTGTAAGGAGTACCTGTGTTCTATATTCTTAGATTTGTGTTTAGGAGTTTGCTTGCTAAGTACCATATGGTTTGGTACTCATCCCTTGCTTCTACATTTGTGTAGGTTAAAAGCTCGGCTCTTCATGATACTCTCTATCCTCTTCTTGTCTGAGGCTTCATATGAAGATTTGAGAGGTGGCCATTTGTCATCTCAACAAACCTTCTTACTCCTATTTATGATTTTATTCTGCTTTAGAAACAGTATCATTTGAGGCTTTTGTTTTCTTTCAAATCTATTGTAATACATTAGAGACTTGTGCACGTTACAACCATGTTTTGGAAATTTAGTTAGGTTGACTTATTATTCGTATTATTATTTGTTATTAAACTTTTATTTATACCTTATTTTCGCACTTTATCGTAATGGTTGGGTTTTAAGCTGGTTTGTCTTGGTGGAATAAGACGAGTGCCATTACATCCATTTTTGGGTCATGACATTCTACTTAAACTCATAAAATGTGATATATATTTTGTTAATTAAAGTGAATGAACATGAAAATAACAATGTATCCATCGTGCACAAGATTAACAAATATAGGCATGCTTGAGCGCATATTGTTAACATGACAAAAGTAAATCATATTTCTTATACTTGTATGAAGTTTGTAGAATTAGATAGTTTAATTTCTTATGATTATGTTTATCTTAATTAGATGATTTCAAAAAAATATATAAATATTTAATTATTGAGTTTAAATTTATTTACATTGTGCCGACAAACCTTTTCAAGAGTCAATGGTCACAAATATTTTAATGAATACCGTTAGCTTTACTTTTACTATTTTTGACTTTTCTGTTAAGTAGCATATTTGAAATGAATCTCAATCATAGATTATTTTATGATCCACATGACATTAATCAAAGAAGTCATTGAATATTACTTGCGGATGTCACGCCCCGAGCCTACACCCTGGACGTGGCCGGCACTCGAAGACCATTGCTGGCCCCCAAGCGAACCCTTGGCCTGGCTTTCTCAACTCAGCGGAAACATAACTCAACGGAATAACTCAATGCAATGAAAGGTCATAAAACAACCCAACTGATAAAATCTGGCCAAAAAGGCAACTCGAGTCTCAAAATAGAATATTTATATATATACATAGATGAGAGACTCAATACTAACTGACTGACTGACTGTCTGTGAAGCCTCTATAACACTGAGATGGATGTTGGGACAGACCCCGCAACATCCTAAATAAAACAAAACTAAGAAAAGAAAATAACCGAGTCCTCCAAAATGCAAAGAGGCTCACCACTGACTCTAGAGTGCTCAGCTGGATCAATGGCGTGCTGGATGCTGATCCTAGGTACCTGCGTCTGCATCATAATAAGATGCAGGCCAACTGGCATTAGTACATTGAATGTACGAGTATGCGAGCCGGAAAGCTAAGCAACATAGGCTAGAATGAAATCTGGAAGAAACTGAATAACTTATCTGGCTCAGCTCAACTCAACCTGACTGACTCATTTCAATATAAGGCAATTTCAAACAAGTGTAATATAAAGAAAAATTGTTTAAAACATGCTATAAACTCTGTGTGTATACAAAGATACAATAAATCTGAGATATATGTAGAAATACAAATGAACTGATGTATTTAAAAATACAATAACTGTTGTGGGAGCTTCTCTAACCGACAGCCATCACATAAGAGCTATAGTGATGATACAGCGATCAACATCACGCTGCCAGAGCATCCTATACCCGGCCAAAGGTATAGGACCTTAACTTCCTAATGGATCCACTAGTCTAATTTGAAAAGGATTCATCTAAAAAGTCTGAACCTCTTCTACCCATGGTGGCTACATGGTTCTATGGGGGTTGTGGGTTCTTTGAACACTCCCCCAATTCGGTGCTCAATACTACTCCCAAAAATGTACTAGCTCTTATGTTTTTAAAACATATTTCTTCCTGCTGATTTGAGATAATTACTCAAAAACTTAGCTCAAAGGCTATCTTGGAAATCTCAGTTTCCTCTCTTGCTTCATTTAGAAAGCGATTACTCTTTTTCTGGAAAACTAGCCCGAAGGCTCTTTGGAAATCTCAGTTTCCAATCTTGTTTAAACGTGAAAACATTTTCTTTAAAACTTCTTTGGGAAAACTTAGTTCCCTAATAACTTTTGAGAAATGAACTCAACTTTATACTCTTGGCTTAACTTGAAATTTGAGCCTTAAAATCGAAGTTAAAACGTTCAATAAAGACTCCTGAACAACTTTAAAGACTTGCTTGACTTACTTCTTAACTTTTACGCTTGACTCTAACTTCACTTGACTTTGATCCGAACTTTCCTCGAATTGGATTATGAATTCAAGGGTAATGATCTCATGTTTATGGATGAGTTCGGGATGTTTAGATGTACCTTAGAGTGTTGAAAACAACTATAAAACATTGGTACATTATTAAGGAACATGCATGAAAAAGTGGGGAAGGAATGGGAAGGATTGGCGTCCTTGGCGCTCTGAGAGGCGCGGGGCGCCAGCCTTCAGACTTCATAGGGGCCTGCTAGGCGCACCGCCCCAAGGGGGAAAGTTCAGAACCCCTTTTGGGGCGCGCTGGCAGGCGCGACGCCCCACCCTTTTTCCCCGAAAATCCGACTTTCTTCCTTAGTCTTTCCAACTCTAAACCTTCTTGACTTCAAAGTTTCCAGCCCCAAACACTTAGAATCATAAAACCCCTCAACATACAACAGATTCAACTCGAAAATACAACCGGAAACATGTCCCAAAGCAACAAGAAATTTCAACACAACCACAAGACTTCAACAACCACAACCACAAACTTCAACAAACACAACTAATCTTTTCTCGGAATTAAAACGAGTTTGGCGTGTGGGGGAAATAACCAACCCAACACTATGATCTCACATACCTTAGTAGGGATCACCCCCGACGATATCCACGACGATCTCGACGAACTTTGCTTCTTCTCCTTTCTCCTCTTCACTCACAAACCCTTACTCTCTTTTTAAAAGGAAACACTGATTAAAAATCAGTCTACAACCTTAATATAACCAAAAGAAATGGTTAGGGAAATGACCAAAATACCCTTACAAATTTCGGATGAACTTCCCTTACCAAAAGCCCAACTTCCAAAGGGCATAACTCACTCATACTAACTCAGAATCGAGCAAACTTGGCGGCGTTGGAAAGATCATTCCACGAGCTTCGCAAACATAACTAGAAATACACCTAAATCATCCTAATCTAGGAGTTATGACTGTTCAAAGTTGACCAAAAACTCACTTTTTTCCATACTTAACCAAATTTCCAGATTTTGAATTCTTTCCAAAAATGACTATTTCCAATTCTAAGCCTCTTCATAGTTATTTCAAATTGCTGGATGTTACATTTATACACTTTTTGGCTTATGTGGCACACTTCGTGACTCCACATAGTTGAAGCACGTGAGAGATGTTTGGATGCCACGTAAGCCGAAATGGTGTACAAAATAAAAAAAATGGGTTCAGGAGAGTAATAAGATCTTAATTTAGTTAAAGTACGTATCTGAAATTTCGGTTATTGTCCAAGAGATACATATTTCTTATCCCTTATATATTAGTGTAAATCTATGATGAAATGCCTCCAAAATTAACCCGGGAAATGTCAACTGATAAATGCTTATTCTGTTATTCACTTGCAAATATATTTATGGAGACTATCAGCTATCATTTCGATTTTCAAGTAGAAAGACTTGGGTTTTAATTAATAATTCAAAATAATTATAAACTTAAATTAATCAATTTTCGATCTAGACTTTGATTAGACTAATTGAATGTTCATGTTAAGGCTGCAAACATAAATCAAACATTACATATTCTACAAGAAGTACTATTGGGTCATTTGTACTTTTATCCTTATTTTATGCTGCTCTTTAATTTTTGCTCAACGATAGAGTTATCGTCTCGTAAAGATGGTTAGACGAATATCATTCATTGAAAGATTCGAACTTGCGCAGTTGCAATCTAAAATGGCAACATCGACCAGTGCACCCAAGCGAGTTTTTATTTTAAGGGTGTACAATCAAATATATTATGATTTTATCAGCTATCTATATATATACGAATTTTTTCAAACACAAAGTCTCAAGACTTTGACAGGTGTCCTCGCTTGCATCCCACTTATTTTCTTTGAAAATCATAGTCGATAAACTCCAGAAATTCAAGCTCAGGCAATACCACGATTGCTGACAACAAAGCAGGTCTCAGAGAACTCTTTCAAGCTTGTTATAGGGAAGTGATAATCATTGGGAGGTTGGATTTGATCTTTGTAATATGATAAAGCTTTCAGATGTTTTGATGATCCTCACAAGTGCAGGGACCCGGTCCTCTGTAGAGTGTTCTCGTCCAGGGCAATGTGCTATACAACCGGAAAGTTGTTTTGTCAGTGGTTGGGGAGGTCGTCCAATCAGAACGAATGAGGTTGTTTGTCTAATGGACAATAACTCTTTTTGGTTGATATAATCAACATGACAAACAACAAATTAATTCATTCATTCAAAGAAAGAAAATTCAAGCTTCAAACAAAACAACAAGGGACCTCATCGACTGAAGAATTGCTTCCTGAACCTGTTGTTATTTTGATTGCTTGTATTTGTGCTTAACTTGTAGGATTAGTTTCACTCTTGTTAGAAACGTTTCAAAACTTTGTGTGAGTCATTGTAAGAAACGTTTCAAACGCGATGTTTCTTTCTTCATTGTTGTTCTATCCTTGTGTCCTCTTAAGAAAAGTGAAAAGTCATAATCCTTCGTAAAAATCACAACCTTATTTTTCATAAAAATCACAACTCTTCACAAAAGTTACAATCCTTCATGTTAACAAAAAAACTAGAATCTTATATCAGAGATTAGATACGAAATAAGATTCATAACTAACAAAAAACATGAAAGAAAACTCTCAAAACATTAATTTTGAACATCTCCAGAACCCACACAGATGAACCGAGACTGCAAATGCAAACACGCTGTTTCTTTCTTCATTGTTGTTCTATCCTTTGGGCATTCTGCAAATTATATATAGTATGATTTAAATTAAATGAAGTATATATGTATGTAGGGGTAAAGATGTAATAAATTAATTACCTCTGTTTGATCCTCTTCTTCAGCTTCTAATTCATACAACACACCTGATAAATGGACTTGAAGTCTGTCCTCTCCTGCGAAATCTATTATCTGTTTCTTAATCTCAATGGCTGAATCTTCAACCTCACGGTTCATACTCATTAAATGAATGGACTTTAAAGTTTCTATATCCGCAAATGCACAAGGGATCTCCGTAAGCATGTCACAATGTTCTAGTATTAATTCCTCAAGCTTGGGAAAAGTTTCCCTATCAACTTCCCATTCTGATAATTCGGTATTTTCCAAACGCAAAGTCTTAAGACTTTGATAGATGTCCTCACTTGCATCCCACTTATACTCCACGAAATCAGAGCACTTAATCTCCAGAATTTCAAGCTGAGGCAATGCCGTGATTGCTGACAACAAAGCAGGTCTCATGACAAAATTATCCAACCGTAACTCTTTCAAGCTGCTAGGGAAGTGATATTCATTGGGAAAAACATCATCAATCCATACGTTGTAGTATTTTACAAAGAGTGATTCAAGTTTGTTAAGGACATAAAACTTGGGAAACCAATCGCCGTGTGTAGGAGGATTTGTCGGTTCCTTGATGGTGCACTGAAGGTGCTGAAGATTTGGGAACTTCTTCAGAGCATCATTCGTGCCTTCAGAATATGAGATATAAACATGGGATAAAGTTGTCAGCTTTGAATTCTCACCTTCCAATATTCTACTTTGGATATTGTCCTCCTCCCCTTCCTCTTCAAAGAAACAACTCCTGTCAATTTTCACATGTTTCAGCTTTGACAGTTTTAATATTCTGGGCAGTAAAACCATGGTGTAATATGGCAACGTATTGATCAACAGAGTTTCCAAATTCTGGAGGTTCAACCACGACACTGGGATAGCTTTTACATCTCGAGTATGAATCCTTAAGAACCTCAAATGAAATAGGGACCCTATTTCTTCCATTAAAGAATCATCCAAAACAATGTTATCCAGTTGCAACACTCTAACAAGTCCAAAGGGTCTTGTGTGACAGTCATACTGGAGCAAGTTAAGAGGCGAACCGCTAACTTTCAAAGATATGAGATGCTTACTACCAGCTGAACACTTTTTAGAATTGAACAAAACACATTTTTTGTGGAGTTGGCCATTCTCAGTATGAATGGTTAGACGATGGTGTAGGAAATCAGAAGTATGAAATCGAGCACCTGGATTCATTAACTTGAGAAACTTTTCCTTTTTCGCTTTTACTAAACAAAAATCGTGCACAACATCATGTACATAGCAAACCTTGATCCTAACAGAAAAAGTCATATTCTTATTGTAGAGCATATGATCCACCATTATCAGGCTACTGGAAACTAAAGCATCCAAGTATCTTTGAGTTGCTTCCTCTAAACTACACTTAGATAGAATATCATGATCCACAAACCCTTCAGCCATCCATAACTGCATCAACTTAGAGACTGGAGTTCGCTTGCTCTTTCGAGATCTTGCAAAGTAAAGCAACAACGGCTTTAGGTGGTCTGGTAAATGGTCATAACTTAATTGCATAATCTCTAAATTGTTGTTGGCAGAAACAAAGGAATCCAGATTATGTTGAATTTTAAGCCACAAATCCTTTTCCTTTTTCTTTCCTCTAACAATTACTCCAGCAATCAAAACAACAGCCAAAGGAAGCCCTTGGCATTTCTCAACTATTTGATGTCCAACATCCAACAGTTCAGCAGGGCAGCTTCCTTTTCCAAATACCATTTTTTCGAATAACTTCCAACTTTCTCCAAGTGTTAAAAGTTGAAGGCGGAGAAGATCACTATGGCATTTAACTTTCAAACCTACCTCACTACTTCGGCTAGTTAAGATAACTCTATTTCCTCTCTCAACCTTTGGAAAACATGCTATTAACATCTCCCCTGTTGCAATATCCCACACATCATCCAAGACGATGAGGTACCTTTTATCGTACAGTGCTACTCGTAGCTTGTCAGCAAGGTCATCCTCACTTTCTTTTCCTCCCGAGTCAGTAACTTGCTGAAGAATCTCCCGCAACACCTTTGACTTGTTATACTTATGGGAAACAGTGCACCAAGCACGAACATTGAAATGACTAGCAACTAATGTATTGTTATACACTTTTTTGGCCAGAGTAGTTTTACCGAGTCCTGGCATTCCGACAATGGAAATGACATCAAGCTCAGATTCATGTTTATGAAGGAGCTGGTCAATCATCTTGAATTCATCTTCTTCATGACCAACTGTTACCTCAACAAAAGATGACGAGGTTGACTCAATTGGCTCGTAGGAAGACTTTGCATCAAGGGGGTCATCCCCATTCTTATCTTCCAGCTGTAAACATGTGACTTCTGCCACGATAAGTTTGATCTTATTAGTGACATTCGGAAGTGAGAAGAGGAGATGTGAGAGAGCTTTATCTCTGACAAGAATGGAATTAATGACATGTTCTGCCTCGTATGCCACATCTAAAGCACGCAACCAACAATCTTTAACTACTCCACTAGTACTGTCATCCAATGTTTGCCTGACTTTCTTGAAAGATGATCTTATGAATTCAAGGCTTTCTTTTACCATCCCAATTTCTTTCTTTATGAGAGAAACTGAATAAGCATCGGAAATGAGCAAATCATTTAAATGTCTGAGTAGAAGATTCGTGAAGAGGAAACCATCGTCCATAGGAAAGCGAAGTTGAGATGACTCATCCGGGGATTTCAAAAAATTCTGTTTGATATCTCCCCTCATTCGTTCAATTTCTTGCAACAAGTCTGGAGCTGAAAAGTCCGCTTCATTGATATTATTCTCAGAGCTCTCCTCCATCAGAATAGATATCTTCCTTGTAAGTAGTCCGACATGTGCCAACATATCGTTCAATTTGTCAGGATGGATAAAGCGCTTTGGTATATCTGTGAGAAAGATCAATAGGAACTCGATCATGACATTAATGCTTTGAGTTGGAGCATAATTGACAGCACCAGCCATGCGTCCTTGGAGATGAATGAGACGATTTTGAAGAATCCTTGGAGATGCTTTTACGATTTGCTTGACAAACTGTTTTAGTTCTCTTGACGTTGATTCTTTGATGAGCTTAGAAGTAGAAATGTATAAAACCTCCAGCTCCAGAGGGATTATGTCGATGAGTAGAGAAGTGATCTTGGAAGAGCAATGAGAGTGTTTATAGAGTTTATACTTTCCATTCCAAATACGAAAATAGAATCGCATAACTCTATCAGCAATGACTTGGAAGGGAAGAAAGAGATATTGAGTAGTAGTTGTTTTGTTGGCCAGGAGGATAGGATAGAAATCTGTCAGACGACGGAATACTTGGAGAAGAATGTTTATTTTCTCGGACATCCTGCAAATAAAGTCATCATCCAAATAAGAAATTTTGATTGGTAGATCATGAAGGTTTGTGAAGAGGTATTCAAACATTTTCTCCTCTGTCGTCATTGCTACATAATTATCATTCTTCAAACTCAAATAACTTTGTATCTCTTCCAGCAGCAGAGGGACAAGACTATCCATGTTGTATTTCTCTAGAATTACTTCATCATTAAGTAATCGCCGAGTCATAACACTGAACTTGTTTATTTTCTTGGACATCCAGTAATAAAAGTCATCGTCCAAACTTGAATCCCCAAACAGGACAAATGTTCTTAATTATCTCACTTCCATTCTTAGCTCTTTAATGCCATCCCATTTTGAATAAATGAATACTTCTTCTTCATTCTTTATTTTCTTCAACCCATTCAAGAAATCATCAACAAGATTCCTGATTCTTCTTCTTTTTTCCTCAAGTCGCAGCTCCTAAATTATAACATAATATTATTGTTGTTGTTTCAATAAGTAAAGAAATGAAAATTTAGTAAGAGTACTTGGACAAATTGAATTAGCCCAAATACCTAATTCTTAGTTTTTCGTGTGTTAGCCCATCAATATTTTGGTGATATGGTTTTCATACCATATTTTTTTTAAAAAAAACTTCACGGACCTTCCGTAATGAGTTGTGGGAATAGTACTCATAGTCTCACTATGATCCACAACATTTTTTGGCATTTAGAAACCATTTAACAAGAATTAAACCATTTTCTTAGTTTTTTCGTGTCTTAAGCCCATAAATATTTTGGTGATATGATTTCTGAGTGATTTTTTGAAGGAACTTTACGTGACCCTCCATTATGAGTCGAGAGTGTAGTACGTATAGTCTCACCATGATTAAAGATATCTTTTGGCATTTATGAGCCATTTAACAAGAATTATGCGATTTTGTTAGTTTTTCATGTATGTTAGTCCATTAATATTTTGTTGATACGATATTCGGGCGATATTTATGGGACCCTACGTAATGAGTTGGGGGAGAAGTATGTATAGTCTCACCATGATCCATGACCTTATAGGGCATTTAGGAGCTATTTAACAGGAATTAGACGATTTTCCGAGTTTTTCATGTTTGTTAGCTCATGAGTATTTTGCTGATATGGCTTCCGGGAGATTTTTTTTTTAGAAAACTTTATGGAACCTTCCGTAATGAGTTGAGGGAGCCGTACATATAGCCTCATCATTATCCACGACATTGTTAAACAATTATGAGCCACTTAATAGGAATTATGCAATTTTCTCAATTTTTCGTGTGTTAACCCATGAATAATTTGGTGATATGGTTTCCTGACGATTTTTAAAAAAAACATTTACGGGACCCTCCGTAATAAGTTGGGAGGAGCAGTACATATAACCTCATCATGATCCACGATACTTTTGGGGTACACAATCAATCGAAATTATGTACACAATCAATCGAAAAGTCAAATATGACTTACCAATTTCTCACTTCTTAATGAGTTTTAATATATTGGGGTACCTTTTAATGGTTAATCTTTTTAGCTTCGGTCATCAAATATACTCATTCACAACTTTTCATGTACATGGTCTCTCTTCCTTCATAAATTTGACAAAAAAATATTAATTTACAACACTTTTGTGTTTAATCATCTTATAATTCTTATATAGTAATTTTCTATTTATTGGCCACTTTTTTTCTTATTAATATATTCATTTTGTATGATATGACGACAAATATATTGTATTTTTTTTTTAATTGACTTGATTGTAAATGTTTCCCTTTAACTCTCATTCTATATTTCAATTTTTATGATTTTTTTATTTTAAGTTTGTCATTTTTTATAAATTAATAGAACATGTACTATTGGATACAAGTTTTTTATTGTACTGTCCAATTATTCATATATATATATATATATATACACACATAGTAATCATTAGTTTGTTATTTTATGGGATTTTATCAGCTCAAGTATATTATCTACCCCTTAGACAATTTTAACATATCATATGATGTTATCATTGTTTTAATTTGTTACTATATATGATTATTGAATGTTGTTTAAAGATTTTAGCATAAGTAATTTTTTTTAAAAATAATCTTAATACGTAATTGGGGCCAAACATGCAACACACATTCTCAAAATAATTGTTACAAAAATATGTAAAACTAATAATTGCTAGAAAAATAAGTATAATTTATATGTAAAACTTAATTACTACTAATTTGGAGCATGTAAAATTTGTATTGATAGACATACCGATGGCTTTCCTTCTTTTTCCATTGAATCTCCAACCTCGAACCAGCCTTCAATTTCTAAAGAATTGATTTTTCAACTTATGATCACATGCATATTTAATTAGGATAAAAATTAGAATATAGTAATCCCATGCACAAGTAAAGGGAAATGCAAGAATCAAGAGTTAAGAATGTTAATTATTAAGTTTATAGGTTTTGAATTATAATTATACCTAAAATATAATTTACTTTTTTAAGTAAATACATGAATTGGTGAAAGTAACAAATAGCATGTCAAAATATATATATTTTTTCCGTTCATTAGACTTGGTAGGTTACTCAGAGTGGCACACAAGCACACACTAATAAATTTTCAAGAATTTGGACCATAATATATACTTCCTCTATTCCATATTAACTGAATTTGTGACACAATGCACACATAGATATTAAGAAAAACATTTAAGAACATAACTTTCACTATTGTCTTTTAAGAAATCATAAATATAACTTTGTAAATAGTGTAATTTATCTCATAGAAAATATAAAAATCCAATAAATGAAAGGGTAAATATGGAAAAAATTTCAAACATCCATTTTAAACTAACAATTCAATTATTCTGAACAATGAAAAAAATCTAATTTTTTTTACTTAATATGAAATGGAGGAAGTACTAGAGAGACGAAATCTAAATTTACACAAACCATGAGTGTGTTTGGTATGAAAGAAATTATTTTCTTAAAATGTTTTTTTTAACTACTAGGTGAGTTTGTTATTTTAGTTTTTATGTGTTTGATATATTTTCTAAATATTTAAGTAATCAAACATGAAAACATTAAAAAATATAAATATTTCCTCCTGAACACACATTATATTAAAGTGTTTCCCGTATCATGATATATTAAGATCTTAAATGTAAAATCTACATAAACTACGTTAAAAGGTCTTCTTCATATCATGATTAGTGACCTTAATCTTCCTTTACAAGCTTGGACCCTATATGGGTGTGGTTGGTACAAAGGATTTCGACTTTCGTACTTACTAAACATGAGAAAATTGAATGAAAAACAGTGTAAAAAGGGAAGGGAAGAGGGTTGGAGACCGATCTTAAATTATCAAATCATTCTATATATTCTATAATTATCAAGTAAAAAGTATAAATCATTTTTCTAATTCTTATTATGTATGTTTCTTTCAAATAAAAAATACATGTAAAATGAAAACTAGAAAAAACATTATATTATACCTTTTTGTTTACTTCCTTCCAAGCTAATAATTCCTCTCAAATGGTAGTTTGCCTTGTTGCAGATTTACAACACTTTTATTGAGAAAATTGAGTGAGCAAAAAGCAAGCAGCAAATGTTGAAGAACCTAATTCACTTATTGTTAGATCTGCAAATGTGAACTTTCGGTTAGTTTATCAAAGTCTAGATCTGAAATTAATAGATAATTTAAGTTTACTACTCCCTCTGTTTAATTTGAATTATTAAAGCCAAGTCTTCCTATATAATTTCCGACGGTCCTAATCAAGCAAGTTGACTAGAAAAAAATGGCATTTTAATATTACATTATTTTATTTATTATTATAAAATAATAATAATAAAAGCTATGATGTTGATGCACCAACAATTGCAATTATGTACTATTTTTTTATTTTCTCGATTTTAGGAATCACGTGAAGTGATGATTGATGGTTGAATTTTGGAACCAATTCTCAGCCAGTGTTTGCATCCCACTTGGCCACTTGTTCTCTTTGAAATCAGATTAGATAAACTCCAGAATTTCAAGCTGAAACAAAACAGGTCTCAGGGAAAACCATTCAACCGTACCTTCTGCTACCTAACAAGCATAAAAAAAATACATAAAGAAAATAAAAGTTAGAGAGAACTAAGTATTTTTTTATCATTATAAAATTTGTAATACACCCATGATAAAATTACAAATAAGGATGCTTAAAAAATTATGTAAAAATATGTCAATCAAGAAGAAAGTTGAGTTATTAGCCTCAAACTTTCTATTACAAAAACATGAATTAAAAAAGATTGATTGCCTATCAAAAGTAATTTGAAGTAATTTTCTCTAGTCTTCTTCTTCAAACTTATCCAACAACACTTGATAATTCATAACTTCTTTATGGATTTATTGGATCTTGTCGAACCTATTGATACTGTCAAATAGTTCTGTTTTGCCTGTCGCATCGGTAAGTGACTTGGAACAAACTCCTCAGTCATTTTACCATTCGAACTATGTTGCCTTCCATGTATCTTCTTTTTGCTTTTGTTGCCTAGGTGATATATCCCCTTGTTAGGACAAAAACATATATTTTCAAATAATATATGTTACTTCTTTTGTGTCAATTTATGTGGCACATGTGAAATTTTGAGAGTCAATCACATTTTAATATGATTTTCAAATATTTTAAGTTGTTAATTATTGTGATTTATAGAACTCTTAATGTGATTTTCAAATAATATATGGTACTCTCTCAGTCCTAATTATGCCGTACATGTGAAATTTCGAGAGGTAATCAAATTTATCATTTTAAGTTAATTTTTAATAGCATTTTTATGAATACATATTATATAAAAAAATATTAAAATAAAAATAAATTAAAACAGATAAAATATGAAATATAAATTGAAGAAGTTGAGGAGAAGGGCAAACCAGTCAATTGGCCGACTGACCCTAAGCTCCTCAACATTCGCTTCTATAATATAGTTGTGATCAAATTTATCATATTTTAAGTTAATTTTTAATAGCTTTTTTATGAATACATAGTACTCCCTCCGTCCCTATTTAGTTGTCCATATTTCCTCTTTTAGTTGTCCCTATTTAGTTGTCCATTTTGACAAATCAAGAAAGGACAATAATTTTTTTCCTATTATACCCTTATTTAAAGTGAAAAGTTATCATAAATAAAGTAAATAAACTTATGAACTTTCCAGCATTGATTAGTTATCTTGAGTGAATTTATTTTGGAAGTAAATTGTACTATAAGGGTAAAATTGTAACTTAACTATGTTAATTATTATTGCCTTAATCTGTGTATCATTTCTAAAGTGGACAACTAAATAGGAACGGAGGGAGTATATACAAAAGAAAATATTAAAATAAAAATAAATTAAAACAGATAAAATATGAAATATAAATAGAAGAAGTTGAGGAGAAGGGCAAACCGGTCAATTGGCCGGCTGACCCTAAGCTCCTCAACATTCGCTTCTATAATATAGTTATATAAAATATGAAATATAAATAGAAGAAGTTGAGGAGAAGGGCAAACCGGTCAATTGGTCGGCTGACCTAAGCTTCTCAACATTCGCTTCTATAATATAGTTATATATAATTATTGGGTTTAAATATCTTACCTAGGACAAATCTATTAAAAAGATAATTTTCAATTGGTTTATCACAGTCTAGATCTAAAATAGACCAGCTTAATACATTTTTATACTCTATGTCAGGTAGGCCGGTTTAAAATCGAATCAAAAAAAAGTTATTGGTTTAACGGCGGTTCGATAACGGTTTTAATTTTTTTAATTATCAGGTTATTGATTTTTAATGGATTGAGGTTCCCAATAGTAAATTAATAAATTATATTTATATCATTCAATATATAAATTTCTTGACTTAGCATTTAGTTTCATATTTTTATTTCTTGCAGTCTCAAACTTTTGATTATTCTACAATGTATTAGTGTTGTTTTTGAGCGAGATATAATCTATCAACTCATGTGCATAGTTTATTTGATTTGTCACCATGTTTTTAAGTGATTTTTAATTATTTATTTGTTATGTCAAATCTTAACGGTTAAACCGATAACGATAAATCTATAACTCAATATTTTATGGTTCTTAATGATTTAACATATCTACAAATCGATAACCGACAAGTCAAACCGATAAACTTCAAAACCAAATCGATTGATAGGAATAATAAGAATAATTCTGTCAAAAATATTTTAATCAAGTTGGCCACCTTCCCAAGAATCTCTCCGTTAAATAAAGGACCTCGTAATAAAATTATTTATTTATTTTAACATAACTTTTATTTTATTTAAATATTAGTGTTGGATAATAAAATTTTTAAATTTAATTATATTTTTAATTTGGAAAATAATATTTTTCAGTTTATCTTCACTTTTAAAATTGTATTTAAATGTATTTAAGTATGAGCATTATTCCTAATATTATGTGCAAAAAAAATATAGTGAAATATAACTCCATCTTTCACTCGATTCCACAAAATTTAGATAAAGAAAATATTTAAAATCTACTATTAAACGCCTTTTAAATTAACCCGGAAATATCAACTGACAAATGCTTATCCGTTTGCAAATATATTTATCACTTCGAGTCGAAAAACTTTGAAACTTGATTTTAATAATTCAAAATACATGTAAACTTAAACTGATAAATTTCAAATCTAGACTTTGATTAGACTAGCTAGTTGAATGTTCACATTAAGGCTTGTATGTGATTTGCAAATTATACAAATTTGTCTTAGGTTTACCAAAACAAATATTAATTGTCATAATCGGTTGGCCATTTCAATTCAATTGTAATGTGTAAATAAGCGAGAATTCATATGGTTATATATTAAACAAATAAAAGATTCTTCAAAAAGTCTCTTTATTTTACTTCTTGTTATGAAAAAACAAATATTATATCAGTTAAGATTTCTTATTGCATGCAAAAATTTTGGTGTTGTCTTTTCTAGCTAATTGCGCCATAAAATTGTAAAGAGTTCTAGATGCAAGTGTTTCCTTACATGTAATTTGTTCCAAATGTATTGTATCATCTTCAACTTTATCATCAACATTGTGCTTCTAATGATATCCACAATTTGTTCTAAGCTCTTGACCTCTTAACCTGTATCATTTTCACTCATCCAATAGGTTATTAACGTCCATTTTGTTGCGGTAATCGAAATCATTAATCATGAAGTTCTGACGTTTTTACAAGTGGGTTCTTTCAAATTCGTTGAGATTTCATTCCTGAATAATTTTTTTGGTGTCGGAAAACTCTTTAAATTAATATTAGATTAAATAATACCTCTACAAAATAATAATATTTTATGATCCAGCCAATATTAATTTAGAGGTTTTGCTATACTATTATTTTCATCTTTAATATTCTTGTCTTATTCACTTTGGTTTTAGGCCAAACACATATACGACCCCTCTAACTTGCCCTTATTTTTCATTTTGGCACTTCAACTTAGGCTTGTTCCATTTTAACCCTTAAATTTCATTTTTTATGTACCATTTTAACATGAAATACTATTTTTATGATTTCTTTATTTTTATATATATTCTTCAATTGCAACTTCTTATTTTAAATCGACATGTGTTAGTTAATTTTAGTTTAAATTTTTTTTAACAAAAACTAATTCTTTTTTTTTAAAAATAATTTCTTTTTAAGAGTTTTATGTATTTTTACGTGAAAAATAACCGACGAAATTGTGTTGGTTTTCTTTCTTAAAAATCACCGACAATCTAACAAATTAAAGTCAGTAGAGTTTTAACATTTTTTAGTAGAGTTATTAGCAACGAACAAGAGTCTTTTTTACTCATATTGAAGATGAGTTTTTTTATTCGTAATGATTTATATTAAAAATAAAAAGTGAGTATTTGCGTTAAATTTAAATAGCCTAGATGATAAGAAATAATAAATAAGTAGTGTTATTTAATTTAATTGAATATTTAAGAAAGAAAATCAAAGAACTTTCGTCAATTTACTTTCATGCAAAAATACAGAGAAATCTCAAAAAATAATATTATTGTTTGAAAAGTTTTATGTTCATTCGCGAATGTTTTATTTGTTTACGAAAATTAATAGACACGCGTCTATTTTTTTAAAATAAAAAATTGCAATTGAAGAACATAAATAAATAAAAAATCATAAAAATTGGTATTAGTGTTTAAATGGTACAAAAAAAATGGAGTTTAAGGGTTAAAATGAAACACGGCTAAGTTGGAGTGCCAAAATGAAAAATGAGGGCAAGTTTGAGGGGTTGTGTATGTGTTTGGCCTTGGTTTTATGACAAAAAAAACAATTATTTTATCTCCCCACCTCCTTGGGCATTCCATAACCCACCACATGTGATAGTTTTTTGTCCTACTCCAATTGACGCGTCTTTTGGCAAGGCAAAAACTTTTTTTAGTTGTCTTGGCTATATGTATGGACTTGGACAAAAAAAAAATTACGAGCTAATTTTTGATGTTGAGTTAGGGTCAGGTGTCATATTTTTACATAAACTCATTTTACAACAAATAAATAAATAAAATTGCTTTAATTGTTTAACGGCAATAAAATAATTATTGTTATATTATATTTAGCGGCAATAATAAATATGTGTCTTTATAACCAACACTCTATATAAGTATCACTGAAAGCTTTAGCGATTTTGAATACAATACCATTAACTCAATTACCTCTAAATATTTTTTCTTTTGCTATTGTGAGTAGTAGTACTCCCTCCGTCCAACAATAGTTGTCCACTATACTCAAAATAGTTGTCCAACAGTACTTGTCTAATTTAGAAAATCAAGCGATAATTTACCTTATTAAATATTATTTATCATATAACACATTTTCCAAAGCATTAAATTTAATAAAGTCAAAGGATAATATTGTAATAGGAAAAATCATTTTGGCCAGAATGATAAAATAACATATTTCACACTATGTTATTTTACTTTTTTGAACATTTTTATCCTTTTAAATTTAATACCTTTTAATTAAAAAATGAAAAAAAAAACTCAGTTTATTTTAAAATAAAAAGGATTTTATAGACTTTTTTAATTTCTGGCCAATTTTTCTGACCATTTAGCATTTCTCATGGTAATATTACCTATATTATTTATTGTTTCTTAAGACCATCTCCAACCCAACACCAAATTCCAAATTCTTATTTGGTGTAAAATTTGGTGTTTTGGAGCTCAAATTCAACACCAAATTCCAAATTCTTATTTGGTGTAAAATTTGGTGTTTTGGAGCTCAAATTCAACACCAAATTTTACACCATTTTGGTGTGTGAATAGTGTTACACCAAATTTGGTGTAACACTATTCATCACACCAATTCACTTTATTGAATATTTAATATTATTTCATTATACAAAAAATTTAATTAAACATTATATAAATTGTATGTTTAATTAAATTTCTTGTATATTTTATATAATATTGATTTTAGACATAAAAGTTAACTTTCTTTATAAATTAATCTTTCTATATATGACTTTTTAAAAAATTAAATTTATGTTAATTCTACTATAAATTATAATTGGATATAACTACAATTAACCTTCACAAAAATTAAAAATACAGACATATAAATTATTAAACAAATAATACAAACTACTTAAAAATAACCAAAAATAATAAACACTCAACAAAGTAGTAATTGACATACATCAAATATTTTTATATCAAACGACTATAAAGAAAATAATATGAATTATATATGGTGAATGTTTTAGAAAAAAATTGTTTTCTGAAATAAGAAATAATAATATAATAATGAAGAGAGAAAAATATATTCATTTTTAGTATAAAATTTGGTACAGTGAATTGGAATTGATTTACACTAAAATAGTGTTAACACCAAGTTTAGTGTTTGGATTGGAGATGGCCTAAGGAGTATGTCAAATCAATAGTAGACAACTATTATCGGATCAAGGGAGTAATTCTCAATTGTTTTCAAGCTTTCCAACAACACCCATTTATTTTCAAGTTTTTCGACCAATGTGAACCTCTTTCCAACAACACTTAATTTGTTTTCTAGTTATTTATTCAAACTTTAGCTGTGATTGGATTATTAAATTGTTGATGTTGCTCCTAGTTGTATTATATTATATTAAGAAATAATACTAAAAGACTTAATTCAGAAATACAAAAGAGTCAACTTAAGTAAATATATTCCACATCTTCGTATACACAACTATGGCAGTATACTATTCTTCTTCATCAAATTAATTCTCAGAAATGGATCCGTTTACGGCCGCTGCATTAACCACGGCGGTGACAGCCACCGTGAGCCTTCTGGTGGAGAACTTGTCGCATCTTATAAGTTATAATTGGAAGTTGTATACAGGATTGAAGAAATCGTGTGAAGATTTGTTTGATGAAGTGAAGCGATTAAATGCATTCTTAGTCGATAACGCGAATCAGAGAAGCAATAGTACACAATGGGAGGTACTAGTCGATAAAATTCGACGTACAGTATATAAAGCAGAGGATGTTGTTGATAAATTATTGATTCAGGCCAAGATAGACCAAGAGAGTAGTATAGCTAAAAAATTGATTCACAAAACTTACAAAAACAGGAATTTTACAGAGGAAATCAATGAGATACTTGAAGAGGTGAGGAAAATCCTTGATGAAAATCAACATTTGTTTGAGGCCAACCCAATGATTGATCATCATGCTGAAAAAGTTGTCCAGGAGGAACAGGTTCGTTTATGAAATCTGCACAAAATTTCAATGCTTATGCGATTTTTTAATTTTTGAGATCTCAATCATTAAGCTGATTTGTTTTCAAGATTTGAATTCAGATCTTAATTATTAAGGGTGTGTTTGGCATGAAGGAAAATGTTTTTTTGAAATATTTTTCCAAAATACTTTTTTTTGTGTGGTGGGGGACGCGGGGTTAGAATATGGGATGGGGTAAATAATGAAATTTTAAAAATTTAAAATATTTTTCCAAAATATGTTTTTTGTGTGTGGGGGGAGGGGGTAGGGATGGTAGGGGTTGGATGAGGTAAAAATAATTTATTTTTTTTTGTTTGGGGGGAGGGGGAGTTGGTTTGGGGGTAGGGGTAAAATATATTTGTAGTTTAAAAATAAAAAAATAAAAAAAATGGTCGGGTACGGGGTACGGAGTAGGGTAAGAAAAAAAATATTGCAATTTAAGGATGAAGTAGAGTTTTGGAAAATATTTTCCTTAATTTTTTAAATGAAGTCATTTTCCTTAAATTTGAGGAAAACAAGTTAATTTGGAAAACATTTAAGCCAACCAAACATGAGAAAATTGGAAAACAATTTCCAGAAAATATTTTCCTTCATACCAAACACGCCCTAAGATTGTTGGTTTTTCTTATTTTACAACCACTTAATGAGTTTCAATAAGTATGATCAGTGGCGAATTTAGAGCCAAAAAATAGGGCACCGGCACCCGTGGTCTATTCGTAAAATTAGATATTTTATATGTATATTTTTTAAGATTTTGTATAATATTATATTCTAGCACCTATACTACAAGAAGTCTAAATGGTCCACATGGTTAAATGTTAAGCTTTTGACCTTGAGGATTAAGGATCAATTCTCACTTCAATACATTTTACTTGGTGTACCCATATTCGAAAAATCCTAGATTCGCCTCTGAGTATGATGAGTAAGATCTATGATAAAGTCTTAATATCATTTAGATGTCTATTTAAGAATTTTTACAAAGATGACAATTCACTATTACTCTATTTACTTTGACCTACTACCTGCAACTAACATTTTAGTCACAACTGCCACCACCGTCAATCACACCACCTATCATCAACAACCACCATCCTCAGCCCAACCATAACCGCCAATACTGTCAATCATACCACCTATCACCACAATCAATATCGTTAATCTCCAAAATTAATTATCATTATCATTAGCCATCATTAGCCATCATTTGCAATCATCACTATCCTCAATCAGATTTCAATTATTAATTAATCGGTCTGTTTTCATGATTTGAATTCAGATCTTAATTGTCAAGTGTGTTGGTCTTTCTTATTTTACAACCACTTAATGGGTATAATTGAGTAAGATCTATCACAAAGTCCTAATATCATTAAGACGTTTATTTAAGAATTTCCACAAAGATGACAGTTCACTGTTACTTCATCTACTTTCACCCACCATCCGCCATCCACAAGTATCATATTAGTCACAACTACCACCACCGTCAATCACACCACCTAGCATCCACAACCACCATCCTCAGTCCAACCACAACCACTAGTACCGTCAAACACCAAATTATTCGTCATTATCATTAACCATTATTTGCAACCATCACTATCAACCATTATTACATCCACTAATCACTATCGATAATTTCCACCATTGGTCAACATTATATATTGTTGACCTCCATCATCATTCACCACACCATTTATTATCAGTATCATTCTACTATTAACTATCAACCGCCACCAACAACAACCACGGTTAATCACTACTGCCAACCACTATATGGTAAAGATATTGTCCACAACCACTATCATCACTGAACACTATCCAAAATTGACACACTCAATCACTATCGTTAGTTATTACCACCATCAATTGTCATATAAAATTTCATATTTTCTTGTAGTAAAAGATGGGGATTGAAAATATAAAGAGTAAAATAGACAATGCATAGAATAAGGGGTTTGAGGACATATTTTTCATAGTTGAGGGGGAGTTTGATTTTTAAAGCAAAATTGGGGATAGAAATAATATTCGCCCAATGTAAATATATGTACAACAATAATAAATTTGGTGACTACACAAATCCTAGCACCAGCATGCATCAGTCATCTCCTCAAGTACTAAAAAAATGCTAGAGCTCAGCCCACTAATTACAATCACTTGCTCTGAGGCGAACTCAAGATTTGAAGATTTCAGGTGCATCAATATTATCTGAACTCCAATATGAGCTTTAAGATAAACTTAAAAAATAAAAACAATAAAATAATGTTGTAGCTGGATTCGAACCTAAGTCATGTGTGTGGTTCCTCTAGCTTGTACCAGCAGCAAAATGGCAAACCTATACCCTTCATGGGTGCACGTTAATTATATCCTAATTTATGTCAGTTTCTCAAAATAGATATACACCTATACACATGATTTTTTCCGAAGTTAACGGGTGCATGTGCACCCCTTGCTCCTGCAACACCACCAGTCCATAATAAATACTTTTCTTATATTCGAAAATTATTTAGCTTTAAGGTGTGTTTGGTACAAAGGAAAATAATATTTTGTGGAATATAACTAGTTTTTTTTTTACTTTCTAACGGTAGGTGTGTAAGCAAAAATATGTTGTCCAAGATAATTTATATGTAATCTAGCAAATATTACGGTGATGGGACGGGGATCGAAGGAGACAATGAACTTCTAATGCTATTTTGTAACTTGTTTTCTACTCCACTAGAAAAAAAAACATTTTTCTAATTTTTAAGAAACCGTTTTCCCAGAAAAAATACCAATTCAAACATTTACCTGTCTATATTTGGATAGGCAGGTATACAATTTGACATAACACATTGAAAATGAACTTTCACACATGGATTGGCACATGATCATAGCTTATTTGGTACCTGTCTAGAATGTAGATAGAGTAATTTCTTGTTATGATATAATCAAGACAAGTACTCTTAATAACTTGTTTGTCCATATTAAAGGGTTCGTCATTGGAAAATCACGAAGTGGTTGGATTTGATGAGGAAGCAACAAAAGTGATCAATCGTCTGGTTGAAGGAGCAGAGTGTCTAGATGTTATCCCCGTTGTAGGAATGCCAGGACTTGGTAAAACCACACTGGCAAGAAAAATCTATAATGATCCTAAGATTTCGCGAGAATTTTTCAGTTACATTTGGGTTTTCATCGGACAATCAACGTGTGTAAAACGGGATATCCTTTTTAATATTCTGAAAGGGTTCACAAATTCCTTTGATGAATTCAAAAACAGAAATGAGGCAGACATAACTCAGGAAATACGTAAGCGTGTGGCTAATGGAGGTAAATGTCTCATTGTCTTGGATGATGTGTGGGATCCAAATGTTGTAGATTTTGTCAAGACAGTTTTCCCTGATAATAAAAAAGCCCACAGGATCATGATGACCACTCGACACGAAGACATTGCTAGATCTGTCAATAAATATCCCCACAATCTGAAATTTCTGGATGGAGATGAAAGTTTCCAGCTGCTAGAAAAGAGAGCTTTTGGCGTTAGCCGTTGTCCTGTTGAGTTAGTAGAACATGGAGAAGCCATTGTAGCAAAATGTAGTGGAGTACCACTTACAATTGTGGTAATTGCAGGAGCTTTAAGAGGTCGTACGAGCGAAATTGATTGGAAAGTAGTTAGGGAAAATGTAGGGAAACACCTTATACAAGAAGACAAACTTCAGAGATGTGTGAATGTCGTGAGACTGAGTTACAATCATTTGCCACAAGAAAAAAAGGCTTGCTTCTTGTATTTTGGTGCCTTTCCTCAAGGATTTGATATCCCCGCTTGGAAATTGATTCGACTCTGGATTGCTGAGGGACTCATAATGTCCAAGTTGTCGGGCAACGAAATTGAAGAGATAGCAGAGTATTATCTCAATGACTTTGCCAACAGGAACTTAGTGATGGTTATGGGAAAGAGGTCTAACGGTCGAATAAAAACTTGTCGTGTTCACGACATGTTACATGAGTTTTGCGTTGAAGAGGCTACTAGATTGACTCTTTTCAAACAAGTATGTCTCACATCTGATCAAGACATACAAAACTCAATTACTTGTCGTCGAGTGTCTATTCAATCATCTGTTCCTCAAAATTTCATCTCAAAAAAGACAGTTGAAGAACATGTTCGGTCATTGTTATGTTTTTCCTCAAAACAAAAACAAGTTGACTTTTCTAACATCGACGTCAAACACATCCCTAACGCATTTCCACTTATGAGAGTCTTAGACATTGAATCCCTCAAGTTTAGTATTCCCAGGGAATTTTACCAGCTATTGCACTTGAGGTATATTGCTATCTCAGGTGATTTCAAGGAACTTCCTAAACTCTTCACTTCTTTCTGTAATGCACAAACTCTTATTCTGAATACTTCCAAGCCCACCCTTGATATAAAAGCTGACATATGGAACATGCCACGTTTACGCCATCTGCGCACCAACAAACCTGCAATCTTACCACCCCCTACATGTAGTAGTAGTAGTACAAATTCTTGTTTATTGCAAACTCTATCTCTGGTTACACCAGAAAGCTGCAAGGGAAATGTTCTTTCAAAGGCTGGTAATGTCAAAAAATTGAATATTGAAGGTAATTTGACGCCTTTTCTTGAAACTAGCAAGAGTGAATTTTTCAGCAATTTTCAAGTGCTAAAGCTCCTGGAAAGTTTAACACTGCTAAACGATGATAAGAGTAATAAATCTCTTCACCTTCCGTCAGCATTCTCTGAATGTTTACCAAATTTGAAGAAGTTAACTCTATCAAAAACAAGGTTTGACTGGAACCAGGCATATAGATTGGGGCAGGTGAAAAATCTCCAGGTCCTAAAATTGAAAGAAAATGCATTCACAGGGCCGTCCTGGAAGATGGAGCCGGGAGGTTTCAAGAAACTTCTGGTCTTGTGGATTGAAATGGCAGATTTCGTGTCGTGGGAGGCATCAAACTGTCCCTTCCCAAGACTTAGGAGCCTTGTCCTGATCTCCTGTCTTAATCTTGAGGCTGTGCCACTTGAGCTTGCCGATTTGGATAACCTTCAAGAGATGACACTGGACAACACAAGCAAAGCAAGCGAATCTGCAAGAGAAATAGAACGCGAGAAAAAGAAGAAGCAAGCTGATCCAGAAAGCGGCAAATTCAAGGTCACTATTCCCTACTGAAGCTGATTTCAATGCCACAAAGTGTAGTTGTTATGAGGTTAGTCCAATTCTCTCCATCTCGTATCATTAAATATCGAATAAGACATTTTTCAATAAGATTGCATCTATCCCTATAGTCTCTATACGCAGAAATTAGAGGTAGCAGTGAGCCAAAGGTCTATCGGAAACAACCTCTCTTCCTTTGAGGTAAGGTTCCTCTCCAGACTCTAATTTGTGGGACTAACTGAATATGTTGTTGCATCGTGGGTTTCGCACTTTGCTGAAACATTAAATTGGGCAACATTACTTTGTTATACTACTAATACAAAATTTAGGTGCCTTTATATTAAACATAGATTATATTCAATTATTTTCGTGTTCGTCACATTCCTCTCCTATTTTTCTCTTGTTTTCCTCCTTTTTGCTGGAGAGTATCGAGGCATGATGATGCATTTGCAGTCTCAGTTCATCTGATTACTAGTTCCAATAAAGAAACTTGTTACAAGTATTGTTTCTGATTCAAACATTTTCAAGTTTGAAATCATTTCCCTGGATGGTTCTGGAGATGTTTTAAATTAATGTTTTGAGTGTTTTCTTTCATGTAATCTGTTCCGAACAAGTATTTTTTGTGTTTTCTTTCAGTACTGGATAATTTGTGTAATCTGTAGTTAATATTTGGATATCTATGTATTGTTCAAAGACATGTTATTTGTTAGTTATGAATCTTATTTCGTGTGTAATCTCTCTGATATATGTCCCAATTGGCCTGAATCTGATGAAGAATAGTAACCGAATGTATTGGCCAAACGTCATTTTTTAAACATGGTCATCAATGGACAATTGACACTTTTTTCAGAACATGGTAGTTTCTAAAGTGAAGAAGGCAATTACCACTATTACTATTGTTGACATCCAATTTTGGACCTCCACAATATATATTTTCTTAAATTCCAAACGATTTGAAATAATTAGTTTTTATAAAGTTCGATTTTTTTTTTCAAGTTACTTTTAAGTATTTTTTTTATTTCTATGATTTTTAAGTAATATATATACTTTACATAATTATGTATATAATTAGTATATTTCATAAATATTCGAAAGTCATCTAAAAATAAATAAAAAAAATTTTGTTTTGTTTAAATATTTTACTAAGTAGTTTAGTTATATAATAGTTTGTATTTTTGAATTAATTATTTTGCAATGGAGTTAATTATTTTGTTTTGTTAATATTAAGAAGCTTGTAAATTAGTTATATTTATTTATCCTATTTGAAACTCTAGCCAAATCTACCAAAATTAAATCTTTTGATTATTTTTTAAATTCGTTTGGTTAAATTGTTAATTAACTCAATCTCAATTTTAGCCAAGTCTCACCAATTCATCCAATCCTTCATGAGACCAAGTTTGGGCCCTTCTTAAATTTCCAGCAAGCCCAGGCCCCATCCCGAATTCCTGCTCACTTAAGTAAGGAGGAATTGACATAGTTAGACAAGTGTTACATACAATTGACAACATATAGCCCAATATTAATTAGCAATTAATAAACAAATAAAAAATTGGCACATGTTAGCCTAAAAGTAATATATACATTTTCTAAATTATTTTTAAAATAATAAAAGATATTTAATATCATCTCTCTTCTAACTTCCAACCATTACTCCTTAAAACTAGCAAAAGATTATTTAGAATTATCTCTCCTTTCAAATTATTATGTATTTTTAAAAAATAATAAAAGAAAATTAATTACATCTTTCTTCTAACTTCCAACCATTTCTCCTTAAAACTAGCAAAAGATTATTCCTCTCTCCTTTCAAATTATTTCGTATTTTAAAAAATAATAAAAGAAAATTAATACCATCTCTATTCTATCTTCCAATCATTTCCACTTAAAACTAGCAAAATACTATTTAGACTAATATCTTTTCTTAAAATTAGCAAATAATATTTTGATTATGATTATTCTTATTTCAAAGGTATTCCTATGAGTTCATTACTTGGCAATTATTTTGCCTTTGAACTCAATCCATATTGGATACATTTGTTTGTATTCATAATAAATTGGTATACATTTATATTTATTTGCATTAATATCTTCCAAATTTTACATATGTATACATTTGTATTGGATGCATTCATCCATATTCATTTATAAACTAGTATACATTTGTTCGTATTCATAATAAATTTGTATACATTTATTTGCATTAATATCTTTCAAATTTACATAAGTATACATTTGTATTGGATACATTCGTCTATATTCATTTATAAATTGGTATACATTTGTTTGCATTAGTATCTTTCCAATTTTCAATAGGTATACAGTTGCTTGCATTACTATTTTGGAATGCAATCAACAAAATTCATTAACAAATTTAGAAAATTTTACATTGTTACGTGTTCGTTTGTATTCATTAACAAATTTAGATACATTTGTTGGAGAAAAAATAAATATTCATTATCAAATTCAATCAATGAAATTCAATAATTTAAAAAATTGTCATAAATATATTTATTAAAAATTGAAAAAACGTCAATTCCAGAAATCACGAAACTTTGCAATTTTTTGGGGAAGAAAACGTTGTAGAATTATAATACAAATACGAAAGTTTTTCAAAAGAAAAAAAATCTTGCATCTAACTACAAGATAAAGAATGTAGAAAATTTCAACTTTTTTTTTAAAAATAACCCAAACAATCAATATAAAAAAAATTGGTATGATTTGATTTACTTATTGTGAAGAGTTATTGTTGTGTTATTAAAAAACATGAGTGTGTTATCAATCAGTCTGCTTTGCTTATATTCCGTTCTGTCTTTGATTATCATCTTCTCCTGGTTTGTTGTTGTGTTGTTCATTTCGAGTCAGTCCTAGCATGATTTATCGAATTAGTATGTCCCAGTTGTTGTTTACCATTCTGTATTACCACAAGTTTATTGGGCGTGAGTTTAGTTTGTTGTTCTTTATCTCGGGTCAATTAAAGTATAGTGTGGCTGCCTTTGCTAATGGTGATATGTAATTCACTTATGCATTTTTGAAATGGTCTGTTAACTTTCTGTTAAGCACTTAGCAAACTTGATTTTGCTTATCCGTTTCTCTGTTTATTAGATAGCATGTAATCCCTCCGCCCTTGATTGCTCGCTATGACAAAAGATAAGACTGTAGCTTCTTGTGATTAATGTATGGTTAGATCTTTATATTTTGGTAATGCATCCTTATATTGATTGAGTTCTTCGTGGTTAGAATAATCGTCAGCCTAGATGTAGACAGAGGTTTCAGTTTTGCTGCTTCATGTGATTGTCTAGGGTCTCTAGTTATGCATGAAAAGACAATGTTTCTTCTCATTGCCTTTAGTTTAGATTTTCATTATAAGAAGTGTCTCTTCATGCCTAGTTCTGTTAAGTTCATCAACATAGTTTTAATTTTAACTAGTAAGCATTCGTAGTTTGCCCACAATCAAGAATAATTAACTTTGAGTAGTGACTAATTACATGTTAGTATATACATTCTTGAGTTAGTGTGCATTTTCCCAGTGAATTAATTTATCCTTCCTGCATTTGTGTTGATTGAATTATATACTAACTCCCTTCCCTTACTTCGTTTTGCATGTGAAATCTGCCTAAGTTCTACATGAACTCCTATGTCCTCCCTTGCATCTCGAAATAGGCCCAGGAGGCCCAATTCTTTATCGAGTCAGCCGACCATAGATATCGAAGAACATGTCTCAAAAATCGGCGTGCAAGTGTTTGGAGCTGCTAAATGAAATCGTATGTACTAGTGTACACCTAGTGTATGCGGAAATGGGGAGATGGGCCCCGAATTTCGATTTTGTATTTTGCTACTTTGGGCCAAAACCCCTTTGTCTTGCTTATTACTATTTTAGGACAGGTAAAAGAATTGGGCCTAACCCAAAGGAAAAACATTTTCTTGATGTTAGACTAGGACATGTGCAAGTGACTCAAATGGGCCAAAGGCCCAAAATGAGATTAGGCCCAAGTACTGGCCAGACGGACAGAAAACCAGACTTGGGCCCATTCTTTATTACTTATGTTTTATATTTGCTTACTTGTCATTATTCGCATTGTTTAATTAGTTTTAAGGTTGTTACAATTTAATTTTCCCCAAAGGATAGCCATTTCAAATTAATTTTTTTTAAAAAATTAGGTAAGCACACATTTTTCCTTGACTTTTAAAAAAAAACATATTTTCAGAAGATAATTAACTTAAGTAGTATCTTAAATATTTTTTTTCCCCTTGAGATTACTTTAAACTTTCAAAATTCTTTATTTTCCCAACTTAATTAAGCATGTCTTTAATTAGTCAAATAGTTACTTACTGGATAACCGTGTGTCAGCGGGCATTTCGAGTGCTTTCAAACCCTTCCCGAAATGCTAATATGAACTCTGACCCCCCTTTAACATTTTCATTAGATTTCTGTTTTAATTTTTTTGAAAATATAGTTTTCTTGATTTTTCTTTAAAAATTAAGTGGCAACTCTTAAAAATCCGTTGTTTCTTTTTTAAATAAAACAACTATGAACGGTTGGATGGCATTGTAGGAACAAGTGTACTACCAACAAGGATTGTGGTGGAGTAGTACGTACTTCTTGATCCTTAATCAAAAGGATACACAAAATAGGGAATGTTCTTAACGTAGGTAGAGTAGATGTCGATCCCTTCGGTTAGCTTCTATGTTTACTTCTTTAGATTTTGAATCCCCATAGTGAAAATTATGGTTCCACCACTGAATGTGAGACTTATCGAGCCTAGGTACTCTCGTTTATCTTGATGTCAACAAAACTCCTTTTTTCCACAATTAGAACAATTGTTGAGACTAATAAGATGATGAGCTCGCACTGGCATACTAACCACAGGGTTAAAATGGAAGGAAGTTAAAAGTTTGGATAAATTAAATGGAAAATGTTCAAATATGCATTCAACGTTGAGAAAAAACTTATCTACGCTATTTATTAAAAGTTTGGTTCATCTATGTCATTTTCGTTTGAAAAAAAAAGATTCATCCAT